AGAGATAAATAATAAAAAAAAGGCCTGAAATAAGAGTAAAAATCACATTAACTAAAAATTGAAAACTACGCCTCGACAACTTTTCGATTTCCCGCCAAATATTCTTCGGTAGCTTGTTTTGTGGCTTGGCGACATCTGATACTTTAGACGTCTCTTAATAGCGTGCACTGATATATATATATATATATATATATATATATATATATATATATATATATATATATATATATATATATATATATATATATATGTGTATGTTGTTTTTTATGCTTTTAATATTCTTTTCAATTTCTACAAATGATGACAAATCGAAATTGACCGGATCTTAATTCGTTACTGTCTGTGTATGATGTGTTCGTGTACTGCATTGCAGAAATAAAATTGAGTGGGAATTGGCAGGATTAGAATTAGTGACACTGAACGAAAAACTTAAATAATTTAAAGTACAAGATTAAGTGGAGATTTGAAAATGTCGATCCTTAAAAATTGACTTAAAAAAACAAAAAACGTTATAACTTTAAATACTTATTTTTTTTTAAATTTATTTGAAAGCGAATGGTTGAAAGAAGATCGACCCTCGTTTCGATGAAAATCAACTCTGTTCAATATCAGGCTAAAATTGGAAATAGATAAATTTTCATAAAATCATTTCAAATAAGTGTAAGTTTAAAAAAAAAAAAAAATAATAAAAGGCACCAGAAGTTTTAATCTGGAAGAATTTTAACAAAGATATCTTCACAGATGATTACTTTCATTCTGGGCAGATATTTATCGGATGAATCTTAACACAGCCTTTTTTTTAACCTATATGAATCTTCCCCGGCCATATTTGAAAAAGAAAAAAAAATGATAGCCAAAAAAATAAAAATAAAAAAAAACACAGAAACCATAGAATACACATTTTCAGTGGGATTTTGTTTTAATACAATCGTTCTTAACAAATCGTGTAAGGAAGATCGTATTGAAGAGACACACTTCGAGATCATTTCACATTAAATGCGGTGTTCACCCCCCCCTCACAAAGCCTCTATCCTTAAACCTACGTTGTTTCTTACCGTTATCAAAAACCTTCCCAAGGTCATTAGTTACAAACTAGGTATTTATGATGATGTCACAACTATTTACTCCTGTCTTAGTAGCAGGTCAGAAAGTCCCGACAATGTAAAACTGGTAGCTTCTCTCAAAAATGACGCGTAGTCAGTGGTTATCTGGGGCAAGGAATGGCTTGTAAATTTTGACAACTCGAAAACAAAACTGCTTTCATTTAACAACCATAGAGAACCTTTTCTATCTTCCAGCAACATAGCTGATGCTAAGCTCCATGAGAGGATCTCATTGCGCCTTTTGGGGGGGATCAGGTTCTTTCTCCGATATAAAGTGAAGCGTTATATTGAATCTATTGCTAGGTCTACTGCTAGGAAAGTTGGTTCACAGTGTCGTGCCGGATAATTTATCTCGTATATTTATAAATCTACCATAAATCTATATAACTGTTATCTGTTCCGGTTTCTTGCTTCCCTGCCACTTACAATCTTATATATATATATATATATATATATATATATATATATATATATATATATATATATATCGCGCACATTTATAAATCTATCATAAATGTTTATAAATCTATGATTGCACATTTATAAATCTACCATTCGACTGTGCATTGAAAGCTAGTGCCATATTTGGCCTGGTGCATCTGCTGTACATCTAGAGATTCTTGACAAAATCCAAAGAAGGATCTGCAAAGGAATCGATCCTGGGCTGACATCTCAACCAACTTCAGTCATTTTCTCACCGCCGTGACGTGACTTCCCTGTGTCTTTTCTACAAATATTTTCATAGCTTTCATTTTCATTAGCTTTCACACTTTATTGCCTCGACTGCAAGAATTTAAGCATTCTACCAGATTGGCAGCTAAGTCATATCGTTTTATTGTTCAACTAGCTAGATGCAACCATATGTTCTATTCTAATTGTTTCTTTTATCGCACTTCTGGCCTTTGAAACTCTGTTCCAGTTTCCATATGAGAAACAAATGGCTTCTCATCCTGACAGTAAGCCTTCAATAGATTTGCAAGTTGGAGGACTAAGGACTGCTCTGTCAATTCAATATAAACCGGAAAGTGCTTCAACTCTTGGTATTAAATTCTCTTCAGAATTTTAATACTTGAAGTGCTTTGAATAAATATTAGAAAATAATTTTAATTTTTCTAGCAAAAATCCGAGCCTGTTATTTTATTTATTTTATACAACTTTTTATGTTATTATTTTATTTTATCTATAATTTTCATTATTATTATTATTATTATTATTATTATTTTATATTTTATTTTATTTATTTATAATAATAATAGTAATAATAATCTTCCTACGAAATAAAATAAAAAAGGACATTTATACTTCAAATCAGAAAGAGACAGTTTAATTTTCTGGGATAAATAATGAGGAAAGAAGGCTTGGAAAATGTGATACTGACAGGACATACTGAAAGCAAGAGGGACAGCAAGTAATATACCTAACAAGGCTGTGTAAATGGATGACAGAATAGAGACTGGGAGGGATAGTAAAAAAAAGTAAACATTGCTAAAAACTACAAAACAATAGGAAGTTGTGGAGAGCCATGATCAACAACGCCTTGAATAGAATCAGTTGATTGCTAGTTTTTATCTTCCTTTAAAATTGGACATAAAATAAATACTGTGTGTATTGAAAAAATCCAAAATTCTTCAGTTGTCAAATAATCTGCATAAAAATCTCTGAATATGGCAGAGAATTTTCTTGAAGCCATTTTTCTCTTCACAATGTACAAATCCATTATAGCCTCAAGCACTTAATTCTCACAAATATAGCAAAAAACTGAAATGAGTACAGAAGCCATAGATTTCATACAAGAAACAAATGGCTTCTCATCCTGACAGTAGGTCTTCGATAGATTTGCAAGTTGGAGGACTAAGGACTGCTCTGTCAATTCAATAAAAACCGGAAAGTGCTTCAAGTCTTGGCATTAAATTCTCTTCACAATTTTAATAGTTGAAGTGCTTTGAACAAATATTAGAAAATAATTTAATTTTTTCTAGCAAAAATCCAACCATGAGAGTTAAAGCAATAATTTCAACTTCCTTTATTAAATACAGTGTAACCCGGATATAAGAGAAACCCGGATATAAGAGAGATTTTCTCTGGTCCCAAATTGTTCCCATACAAAACAGACCAAACCCGGATATAAGAGAAACCCGGATATAAGAGACTTCTTCTCCGGTCCCGACAACTCTCTTATATCCGGGTTACACTGTAGATGATGTAAAAATAAGAAGCAAACTGATGCTCCTACTATATATCTTGAGAGATTCTTGACAAAAGCCAAAGAGTCGGCAATGCTTTAACCTCTCGACTACAGGGTGCTGCGTCGAAAACCAAGCAAAGTTGAATAGTGCCTTTAAACATGGATTTTTCTCGAACTCTTGAAATAGACATTTCTGCTCAGTTTTGTATCGTAACACAAACGGTGAAAGTAGGTTCGAATCCTGATAGTACAAAAAATATATATAAAAATTTGTCAGATTAATAAATAAAAATCCTTCTTTATATATATATATATATATATATATATATATATATATATATATATATATAAAACGAAAGGTGGTTCTCGTGTTCTTTTAATATGTAGATTTAATAGGACGGTTGAAGAAATTTCGAGAAAAAAGATAACAAAATGATAACAATATTATCAATAAGATTTATGTTATGTACATGTGTTAGCCTTTTGACTCAATTCAGGAATTCCAAGAAAGAGAAAGAGGGGGGGGGCTCTAATCAACGCCAACATTTTCCGTAAGAGTAAGTCCTACTTTTTTGTTTGTTCCTCGTCTTGTTGAAAAAGGACGCAGGCATGTCCGAAAATTCCGATTTTAAAATCTTTCTCTTTGTGTTTTAATTTAATCAAGAGGCCTACTAATATATAATAGATATCATCAATCTTCTCGCCAGTATTGCAAAAACGTCATTCGAGCTGACGTGCTTTGACATCTCGGCTACAGAGTGCGTCGATGACCCAGCAAAACTGAATAGTGGCTTTAAACACAGATTTGTCTCTAACTCTTAAATTAGACATATCTGCTAAGTTTCGTAACCTAAATGAAAGGAGGAACGAAGGTTCGAATCCTGACACTAAAAATAACGTTTAAGTAATAAAACATTTTGTATTAATAAATAAAAATGCATTCCTTTATATATATATATATATATATATATATATATATATATATATATATATATATATATATATATATTGTAAAGTACTCATTAAAAGAATAAATCAAATTACCTGAAATTAAAAAAATAACATCTATGGCTGAGGATGGTAAATGTTTTACCGAAAGTACTTGCAATATAGACAGAACATCTAATCCATTTTACAATTAATAGAAACAAGGATCGTGTTCTTCAGTGAGTGGTCAGTGAATTAATACCTTATTTAATCTGTTAACGAATTGAATTCGCCATTAATTACATTAAATTTTATGTTTTATTCTTTGAATGACTACTTTACAATATTAATTAAGCTGCATTATTCAATATATATATATATATATATATATATATATATATATATATATATATATATATATTAGTGGTAAATATATATATATATATATATATATATATATATATATATATATATATATATATATATATATATATATATGCATACACATACATATATATTTTTTGGGAAAAAAAAAATTCCAAGAAGATAGAATCCAGGTAGAACCCAATGTCCTGGACAGCGTAAGGATATAATAAAAGGCTTAAACACTAATATTCCATGGTCATAATTTATTCCATTGGAATCGTATATATATATATATATATATATATATATATATATATATATATATATATA